GGTCTTCACAGAAGGACGTTTGAAGTCGGGCGAAGCGTGCCTGTCGCGTTATGCATCCTGAGAAGCACCGAAGCTGGCAGACTAATTCCCAAGCACCTAACAGCCTGATGCGGCAAAGAGAGCCAGGCAGAACCCTCCTGCGGCGGCAAAGGCATTCCCCGATTGTCACAGCGGCTTTTTTCATTGTGGTCGGGTTGATGACAAGAGTTTGCAGAGGCTGCTGAAGGAGGGGGGCTGTATTATGGTATATTACTATGTCAATAATATTATGGTTTCTTATAGTAATTTTGAGGAGGCGTCATTCTTGAACTCATTGTGGGCTTTGCAACGAAATCGAGATAGCCTTGTTGTGCCAGCCGCAGGTCTTGCGTACAGCCCAGGGCACTGCCTCGTCAACGAAGGCAAAGCTTGGCCGTGACGCTTCTGCAGTTTCGGGTGCATCCTCAGCTCCCAAGCTGCAGGGAACCCGGCTTGAGGTGCAATAGAAGGGAGAAAGGCTCATGAAGTGCCAGGCTGGGGTTCGATGATGTTCTCATTGAGCACCGAGCCACCTTTTGACGGCGTCCTGGCTGTGTCTGAGATGTGGGAGCCCCGGGCAGAAAGTCAGGGTTTAGGGTTTGGGTTTTTGGGTTTTAGCATAAAAGAGTTTAAGGTGTTTCGGGCTTAGTCTTAGTGCATACTGGAGTTTCGAAGGGGCTGGCGCCTGAGTTGCGAGATCACACTTCGGCAACGGAGGGTGGTGCATGTGCAGTCTGCGTTTCGGGCCATTCTGCTGCCCACCTGCGCTCTGTCAGGCTCTGTCAGAAGATACTAGCAGCTGGTCTTGTCCCAGCTTTCTTTCTGACTCAGTCTGGTGTTGCGGGGCTTCTGAAGTCTACCTTCGAAATACGAGGCAGGTAGTTTCCATGTTCACATTGGTGGATGACGTTGTCCCTGCCCTGACGTCGCACTGCTGAGCCAAGCGACCTGAATTAAGCACGCCATGCCAAAACCCTGCTGAGCCCGTTGCGTAGCTGAGCTCCCGAAGCAGACGCTAGTCATGCAATGTTCATATTAGGTAATTTGCTGTGCCAAGGACGCAGCGAGACCCTGCGGGAGCCTGAGACATGCATGCATACTGGCACAGAATTCACAGCATTCCAGAACAGTCGCTGAGGATTGTCCACCAGCGTGTATCTGGTGATTCTCTTAGTTCAGGCTCTGCAAGTGGCAAGAACCCGAGTCAACAGCAAGAGCAACACCAAATTTGCTGCCGCCAACACAATCAGCAGCGACTACAAGCAAACAGCGAGTGCTGTTGGTGCCGCAAAGGCATCGTGATCTTTCCTAGGGCAACGGCAAGAAAGGGGCCGCTGTGGTCTGCAACAGCCCCTGGTAAACATTTCTAGAAGTTCTAAGGCCGATTGTGGACCACAACGGCTCCATGCCGAACTCAAGCGACGGCGAACTGGTTGATCCGTAAATAGCAGGGCAAAGCGAGAAGCACAAGATGAGCGTCCTTCTGGACATGCGATCCGCATCGACGGAACTGGCAGGCTCCAACGATCTCCAACGGAGCCACGCCAATGTTGTTTGACGCTCCAGGTTTTCGATCTCTCCATATTGAGATAGAAGCTTCGATCCTGCCCCAGCGCTAGAGAGGAGTTTGCAGAAAGACCGGCAGATCAGCAGATGTAGATGTGGGTTCCCCGTAGTCAGAAAAACTTATAAGGCCTGTCCATGCCCTGTTCCTGAGTTGCCAAGGCGAAGAGGCCGCAGCCTTTCGTTCAGCCAGTGGCCGCCCTGCCACGCGTTCGCACCAGAGTGTAGATGGCAGCCCTAAAGTCGAAATCCGGAGCGAAAGCCTCGACCCCAACGCCTAGCTCCTGTCCACCTCCAGTGTCTCAGACAATGCTCCCGTCGAGCCTGTGTGAAAGAGTTGGAGCCGGTCGAACCCTGCTATGCCCTCCTACCTTCGTTCTACTTCTTATGCCAGGATGCTGCAACAAATCAGTCGACCCAAGTGCATCATCCTTGGCGCTTCCGAGCAAGCTTGAACGGCCGGACTCAGACAAAGCAGCACAGTCGTGGTGTTCCATCCACATTACCGGACCGCTAGGGAAGGCAAGCTGCGATCCTCAAATGGAAAATCCTACACCCTGCCAGGCAAATCACACATCATCGCTCGATGCACTCGTCGATGCAGCAGATCGCGTCTATAAAAGCCCGGCCCTTTCCGTGGTTGTGCTTTGAGGTGTCGCAGCAGCAACGGTGGAATTGCTGAACACGTGGTTTGGGGGTGAACTGCTCCGGAATTAACGCAGATGTTTCTAGCTTCTTGTTGTTCTGGATATTGTTGTTGCTGCCACTCCTGCGCCATACTAGTACGGTATAGTATAGCAGTCACCCTAGCTTGAGATAAGGGCAGTGTCAGGTTTAGTAGTGTTCGGCGTGCTGAATCTATTATGTTACATATGGATGCACGAACGGGTGCCTGCACTAGCCATTCTTTAGCAACGTGGGCTTTGCCATACTTCCAGTTTTGAGGTTCTGGACTTGGCTCCGGCGTACAGGACCTGGTTTCCTTTCCAGACATGTGGCGACCCCTGTGCCTAAATCAGGGTCGTGTTCGGAAGTCCTGGCTAGAGACAGCTCTGAATGTCTCAGGGTAGTTGTTGGAAACCCACGGAGGAAACCGACACAGCAACACAGACTCACGTGGCTGTGACGGGTTCGGAGCCAAAGCCTTGAAACTAGAAACTAGGAAGTTTGCCAGCTATCCGCCTTGCCATGCGGGCTTGTCCATGTGAGGTAGGACGCGCAAAGCAGTTCCCCCGAAGTGAAAGCCACGCCCTTGACCCCAATGCCGTGATGCTTGCATACTGACAGGCCTCAATACTCCAAGCCCCGACGTGTTCTTTCTCAGTCCCAGCCTTGGACACGTTTCCGTGAGCCGGAGGTTGGCGTTGAACTTTCACACGCAAGCAGTCAGATATGCTCCGGGCAACTCGCTAGACGTGGAGTCTTGTGGCTCCTAGGACCTAGGGATGACCAGCAGCCAAACCAGCACGGTGTAACCACATGAAAACTAGCTTCGGTCGTGCATGAGTTGGCCCCAAACATGCAGATCTTGTCTGCAAGTGCTTCGGCTACGATCCACCAACCTCATTCAACAATGTACTGAAGCCTTCAGCTATCCTTTGGGCAGCAGGGGTTGCGAACTGTTGCTGCTTCATTCTGTTGGTAACGATGACAGACTTACATCCAAGGAGCTGTACTTGACTGGATAATGTGTCTGCCGTGGGTTTGCGTTTGTTGCACACTATGCCTGCCCAGTCACGACAAAGACACCAAAAGCCCCAAAGCCATCGCCCAACTCCTGAATTGTAAGGCCCGATGGTAGGCAACTGCTTGACGCTCCGCCGCTTGGGCCCTTCTCGTGGGAACAAGGCCGAGGGGACCTGGTGAAGTTTGGGTGTCAGAGGTGCGTAGGGACTCGAGCCGCCAGAAGCGCAACTCGACTGATACACACACACACACACTCTCTCACACGAACATTGCTGTGTGTGACATGTCTTTGCCTTTACGTGGCATGGGAGCTGGACCAAGCCTTCGCTCTTTGATTTCTTACACCTAGCATAGGTACCACACGTTGCTCAGGTGTGTATCGACAGCAGCGACATGTGAACAGAGGGTTTAAAAGTTTTGACTCAGAACTTCTAACATACGATATAGTATTTTAAGACCATACAACTTCATCGCTCCAGGGTAGGAACTGCGCAGCCCCGCACCATGGCGCCGATGACTGGAATGCGCGCGGGGGATTGGATATGCCCTGCTTGTTCAAACCACAACTACGCAGACAAGGCCTCCTGGTCCGGGAAGCACAACATCAGAATAATGCTAATGAATGAGCAGTATCCCCTGAAAGACCCTAATATAATTATTGACTGTAATATACTTACAGTATCATATACCCAAAATGTTACCTTATAGTACTTTAAATATTTATAGTACAACAATCACCCAAAGCAGGGGGGGCTGTTTTCATTTTTTTGTTGGAGAGGAGGGGGCGTTATTGGGCCGGCGGTCTTTAAGTTGCACCGCGAGGTCGGGGACCCTAAGGCTTTCATGTGTACATACTACTATGTATATGTATACATACAGGTTTGTGTGTGTGTATGCTCTTGTATGACAGTATTTGTATATGTACGTGTATATGTGTATATATATATATATACACATCTAAATATATACATATAAACATATACATATAAATATATACATATATATTCGTAAATATGTATATGTATATATATATATACACATAAATATATACATATATGTTCGTAAATATGTATATGTATATGTATGTATGTATGTATGTATGTCTATGTATATGTATATACATCTGCATATACATATACATATATATATACACTTTTATATACATATCGTATTTATATGCACACACACATACCCCCAAATCCCATCCTGATGCCCCTATTGTCACGGGGTTGCATCGTGCGGGCACAAGCTCTGCTCCCCGCTGCTTTCCCGCAGAAGCAGCTTGCAACACCTGTCAATATTGAAGCTTTATATATATATATGATATATGTTGATTGATACTGTCTTGAAATCTACTTTGGCGACATGGCACATGGTCTTTGCCATCAGAGCGAATGGATTCATATCGATGAGCTGTTGCCAAATCGGAGAAGCGCAAGGCCGAGCCTTCATAGGAATGTTGGACTCCCCGGTCGAAGATCTTGGGAGCAACACCCACCCTAGTGTGAAGTGCCTACGCCGGCACAAGCTCAGAATATTGACTCCGAGTCCCGCAGCACTAAGGGTGCAGGGAACTGTGATAAGAAGATGTTAGAAGTGCCACACCAGCTACGAATGCCCAGCGCTGAATCAAAGAAGCCCCATGTCGAATTAAGCCACGGTTAAGGACATTCTGCAAAGCTTCGCCCGTGAATGCTTTTTCAAGCAACGGGGTTCCCTTGGCCTCGACGCAGGTCATGTGCAATCGGTGTCGGATTCCGAAGCCCGGTGGCTGGAGTGCCTCACCTGTGGCAAGCAAGCCAGCCAGAGAGATGCGGCCTGGGGACTGGATTTGTCCATCGTGTGCCAACCACAATTTTGCCGATAAGTTGTTTTGCAACAGGTGTAACCATCCGAAAGAGAAGGCAGGCGAAGTTCCGGGCTCGGGGCCTGATCTGCAGCCGCCGACCCAAGCGTGGAGATTCCGGCAGGGCGATTGGATGTGCCCAGCGTGTGGCAACCACAACTACTCAAGCAGGACAGCTTGCAATCGATGCAACGCGCCGCGGCCGAGTGGCAGCGACGAAGCGACTTCATTGAAGATCGTACCTGTCTTTCTTTGCAGGCTTCCGGAAAACTACCCCTTGCAACAGTCAGGCTTCAAGTCGGTAGCACGTTTCAACACTTTCCGTAGCTCCCAGGTGAACGACCCCAGAGGTCAAGAGAGAGAGAGTAGAGCTCGAGCAAAAATTAAATCAGGGCCTCACACTCTCCCAGGTGAGCGGATCCTATGGTGCTGCGCCCAAAGGGGGGCCAAAACGCGAGTCTCCGTATCAAGCACCAGGCTTCACCATCCTCTGCCCAAACGAATGCCTGGGGTGCACCAGTGTTTAGTGGTTTATGGGCACCATAGAAGCAGTAGGCTGTAAGCCGAGTAGTTATGATTGGGGCTTGGGCTTCACCCATTAGGCCGCTTAAGGAGTGAGTACCCGCAGAGGTGGGAGCTGGACTTGCGTCAGCTGCGGCAACATCAATTGGCCTCTTCGAACGGCATGCAACCGCTGAACCTCGACGAAAGTTTTGGAGACCATAGATATTGGGGGCCCTGAAGGTTGGAATAGGGCTTTAACAAAGCCAAACTTCTCCAGCTAGGAGCGGCACTTCACTCCGAGCACAATGTTCGACATGTGGGTAGAGAGACGAAGTTTGATACGAACTCCAGCTGATGCTGATGATGCTCGGTCAAACCGACTGCTGTTGGCTCAAAGCATCCAGAAATATGAATGTGAGAGAGAGAGAGAGAGAGAGATGCGTTTCAGTACTGCCAGAAATTGGGCATCACTCTTGCAGAGCTCGCTTTCAGAGCCGGGAGCAGTGGCAGCAGTGGCAGTCTGACGAAGTGCGGCCTGTGGATTGGATGTCGAGTGACCGCTCCCGTAGGTGTGGTAGGTTTGTTTGCTACGGTTTCAGTGCTGACCAGTGGCTGTTAGACCTGCTGCACAGTAGCGGATGCCAGCATCTGCAAGGGACTTTAGGACCACAACTGTTTCGCGAATAGATGAAAAGCAAGTCAACGAATTCCGGCTACGCAAGCTCTGTGCCATCTCCGCATCCCATCACTGCACCGTGCTGCGCAGTGGCGTGGGTTCGAAGGTTCGGAGATTGCAGACTGGGTCTGGCAAAATCCTGCTGATGCTCCTTCTGCGAGCTTGCTTCCCCTGCTGTTGGTTCATTCAAACTTGCCGGAGATGAAGAGAGAGTGCAAGCAAGCAACAGTTTTAAAGGAAGTCTCTGGTAGAGTTGAACGCAATTTCCAGCCGACGTCATAATGCTCTCTCTGCGGTTCGCTGATGACTGGACCGAATTGCTGCAATTGCTTTGGGTTCACAGACCTGGACACAGGGTTGACAGCTGATGCTGATGATGCGCGAGAGCGGCTCGTCGAATCTGTCCAATGAGGGGGTCGAACTGCTGCTCCTGTTAAGTCGATGGGAGAGAGAGAGTTTAGAAAAACTTCCAGCTGATGCTAGTGATGCTGGCTCTGTGGTTTGATGAATCTGTCGTGGCGTTTACAACGTATTCCGCTGATGCTGCTGATGCCTGCCCTTCGAGAAAAGCTGATGCTCATGTACCCAATGGAACTGCCGCCCGCACCTGCTGTGGGCAAAGACGCGGAGATGCGAGAGAAAGTATTTACAGAATTCGAGCTGATGCAGATGATGCTGGCTCTGCGTTTTGCTGCACCGGCGAAATGAGGGGGTCGAATTGTTGCAGCTACTGGTGGAGAGCGGTTCATAAAATCCAGCTGATGCTGATGCGTGCTAAATCTGCCCAATGAGTGAGTCGAACTGCTGCACCAACTGTGGGTTGCAAATGATTTTCAGCTGATGACGGTTGGTCTGTGGACACTCAGCATATGGGAGGAAAAGTGTAATCAAATTTCGAGCCGATGGTGATGACGCTGGCTGCGGTTAGCTGAATCTCGTTCAATGATTGGGTCGAATCGCTGCAAGCTGCAAAGCCCGAGATGGGGCGTGCATAAAGACTTGCAGCCTGCAGTTGGTTAAAAGAGGAGAGTTGGAACAACAATTCAAGCTGATGCTGATGATGCTCGCGTCGGTTCGCTGAATCCGCTCACAGCTGATGCTGATGATGCCTCGTCTGCGGCTGGGTCGAATTGTGGCACCTGTGTCCAGTCATGTCGAATTGTTGCCATGACTGCGGGTTCAAAGGTGGAGCGTCTAAAAAGGATTCCAGCTGATGCTGGTGATGCGCTCTTTGGGGTTCGCTGAATCCGTCCAGAGTGGGTCGACGCTGACGA